GCCGGCCCTGCCACCCCCCTGGGCACACGCTGGGGAGTTTGCACTGAGGAACTACTCAGAATTTTATGTGAAACCTGCGTGTCTCTCCCAGACAAGGGGAACTGGGAGGATTCATATTGTTGGGGGAGGAGGATAAACAAATTGAAGACTTTAATCTTCCCTGGCTCATCGCTGGCATCAAACCCACCCAAAATCAGCTGAGTCACACTGGCCCAGCAGCCAGCTGGGTGGGGGCAGGTTTGAGATAAACATTTTGCTATCAAGGCCTGTCCAGACCTTGTTTATTCACTTCTCTCCCACCCTGCGCCGCCCACGCTGCAGTTTGGGGGGGTCCAATCCTGCCAAGGGCAGAGACTTCATCGTTTGGTGGATGTGAGGATGGATCAGTGCTCTGCACACGAGGAGTGCTGGGTGGGTTTGGGTGCCTGCAGAGCAGGGCTCATCTGGGCAGAGCCTGTTCTTGGCACGGGAAGCGCCGTCCGAACGGTGACGCAGCAAAAGGGGGGGAACTGAAGGGACTCGCTCATTTTTTAAGGGGAAACATTGGGCCAAGCTATTTTTCCCAGGATCTCTGCCCTAATCCTGCTTCAGCCACGTTCCTGGGCACTCCACTGTCAGCCCTGTCCCACGGGAGGGTGTTAAAAACCCTCTGTGACCCACAAATGCCCTTTCTCACACATGTCTCCCAAAGGAAGAGGCACTTTGTTCCTGGTGTCAAGGCAGACACTGAGAAGGTGAGAAGATGAATTGCAGGGAGTCCCAAAGGGATTTTCTCCCTGCAGGGAGGCTGGGCAGGCACAGGGGCACCAGAACCCCCAAGTTCTTCATGATTTTTCATAAGTTTCTTTATAGATATTAATAGTTTTGTATGAACATGATTGTTCACAGACTTCAGGCAGAAATGACTGAATTATTTGCATAAGTAGTTCTCCTGTAAGTGAGGTGTGTGGGGGTAGGAATGGCTGGAGAGCTGGAGAGGGACTTTTACAAGGGCCTGGAGGGACAGGACAAGGGGGAATGGCTTCCCACTGCCAGAGGGCAGGGTTAGATGGGACACTGGGAAGGAATT